ATATTAGTATGTTCAGATAGTAATTATTTATTTTACCGCTGTATATTCTGAGTCAGCTAAACAAGGTAGAACCACTGATGAATTAGTTAATCATCTCTCCCATCTAACAGATTTTTTTTATAGTACACTACCAGGCATCGCCCGCACGCTATCGCTTTGCTAAGCTTTGCTAAGTAAAGTATATTTACTACTTGAAATCTCTGAAACATTCATTCATAAGTTGGTTTGTTACATTTAAGGAAAGTTTTACAAATAGATGCCAACTTGTTGAAGGCCAAGTAAAATGCAAATTCCAAATTCTTTTCTACACTATATAAGTCGATATTCTATACAGAACAATTTTTTATATAAAACTCAAAACAATTCTCGAATAAAAGAACAGAAATGAAGGACAGTTAATTAATAAAATAAACTCTTTTTTTAAAATCAATATGCAAATTAGTTAAAACTGAACAGTGATATCGCCTAGAAGAAATTAATATATAATACACATATTGAGCCTTTAGTACGTAAAGCACTATAAAGTAGAACTGGGTTTTTCTACTCACAGAATTGGTGGGAAAATTGAGCTCCATTTTCACAATTCTTTAGCATAGTTTTCTTAATATATTGTTTTTACTTAATTAGCTATTATGTTTCTCTAAATCTTCAAATGTTGAATGTATATCTAATTCTAATTTCTATTTTCACATCTTCACACTATGTCAATTTTATCTTATAAATTGTCCCCTAATTTGTCACCCATGAAATAAAAATAATTGTTTTTTCTTCTGTAAAATAAGGATCTACGTACATTAAGTCGTCTTTAAATTAAGTGGCAGCAGAAGACATTGTTGAACTATTAAAAGGTAAGATTAAACATTAATTCAGTCCTTGACTTCAGCGATCAATTTTGAGTTCCTCTGTAGTTTATTGACGCCTATCGCATCTACTTCTCCGTAGCTTTTTCGATAATGGCCAAACCAAGGGTCTTCCATAGGATCTAGTTTATAATAAAACGTGAACTGCAATTTTGGATACAAAAGAAATATAAGAGTTACGCCGCTTGGACCATGAAAGCAACGCTAATGGCTAGTATAATATATCAATATATATTTTTAACCTCGCATAATCTGGCAACCCTGACTTTGAGCTCAACGAAAATCGTTCCATTCGCCTAACATTTCTAGGCCTTTTGAAAGAGCTATGAATGATCTTTGGACCAGTGAGAGTGGGGGAGTTGCCTGGACACACACACAGAAACACACACACATAGACTGTACTTTATATATAAGATTTCAAAGTGAATAAAGATTCTACTATCTGCAGACTTTTTAACAAAGAATACCAGTCTTCCATTTTTCATTTTTTTATTCTTACAGGTGAGATAAAGTGTTTAATATGAGATTGTTCCTTACGACATGAGAAAACACTCCCAATACCAAGATGAGAATCTAATGCCAAGATAAAAACAGAACTCTGTAAACAGATTTATGTCTACTGGAACATTGATGGACCGTTACTTCATAGAAAGATTTTATATCCCAGTATGACAATTCTAGGTAAAACATTTGAATAGACGCCAAAGAGAAAATAAGATGGGAGGTTCATTCTTATTTTTCATATTCACCGGAGTTAGCGCCAACGTTGTTTTTTTTTTACATTAACATTTTACATTTTGATATTAAGCAAAGTTCGTATAAATTAAAACAGAATATCACTATTATATGTGAATATGTATTATGCATAACAGCTACCACTTTGACTTCTTATCTACAAGGAAAATATCTACACAGTACATTTTTTGAGTGAAATATATATATATATATATATATATATATATATATATATATATATATATTAGTGGTAATATATATATATATGAAAGATATATAAATACCCATACATGTATATTTTTTGAATAAAAATTCCAAGAGGAAGAGGATATATATATATCTATATAATATTAATTAATGTAATTTTAATCTAATTAAAAGTTTTTTCTTTTATTTATATTCTAGTAATAAACTGCATGTACATCGGCTAAAATATCTATACCGTACAAATTTTAATTTTGATGATATCAACATATTAAAACAGAATAATATATATATATATATATATATACATATGTCATAGAAAAAATGTATATAAAATATTTTTTTAAATTTTCTATTAACAATATGATAGTGATATACAGCAGGCACATCGACTAAAGATGGCAAATAAAAGACATGGGGGTTCTTTTCTCACTGCAATCCCTACAAAAGTAATCAAAGTGCGATTCATGACACGTAGATCGCATATCGAAGAAGATACATGACACGTAGGTAACAAACCAAACACCGCTTTTCTATATTTGATGGAGGTGGGGCCAATAGAAAGGTTTATTATAAATGCGATTTATTCATCAATGCCGCATCACTAACAACTGAATAACATATGAGGGAACGTGGTTGAGTACTTAGAACGTTCACTTTTTGTCTATGAGGCCTGAAACCGAATCACATCCAGGACGATCTGTCAAGCATGTGGTTTTTTGAATTTATCGACCTGGAAGGAGACGTCAACGGGCAGCAACATTTCAAATGGGCAGTTGAGGTAGTATAATCTCACAAGTCATCATGGCCGAGTGTCTGAGCGTACTTGAGTTGTTTAAATATCTGATTGGAACAGATAATGGAATCACTCTCAGAAAGCCCAAACACAACTGTGACTGTGAGTGGCAAGCTGCTCTAACGAAAGGTTGTGCTCGGAAAACGATAGCGGCTGAGCATTATACACACACACACACACACACACACACACGCACACATATTTATATATATAGAGAGCCAAACAAACCTACCAAGGTTTTCACCAGGGAAGGCCGGCTCCTGACGATCCGCTTAGGTGAAAGTAGGTTTGTCTGGCTCTCTAGGTTTAACTAGGTCTGCTCTACTCATTGTATTGAGCATTTTATTTAGTTGTTTTGGATACTCACATCGTTTTTTTTTCTTTGGGCCTTGAACTCGTATTCTGGACGATTATTTTCGGTTAACGTACATGTTCTTAGTTCTTTCTTTTTTTATAACTTTTTTTTCCACTTTGGTGTTGGCTTGTTTCTTTGCAAATCAACCGAAGGTTTTCCGAGCGAGTATAGTTTCTTATACTTATAAGATTTCTATTAAGAATAAGTAAATATATATATATATATATATATATATATATATATATATATATATATATATATATATAATTGATGTATACGGAATGAATTCTGGGTGCTTATGTATTATAATCTGATTGTGTTTTTGTTGTTTTGCGCGTGAGTTTAAGACCCCATTCACACACTTTGGATTAAAATATATATACATGTCAAATGACCGGATATTGTAGCGTCTGTTCTAACGTAATTTCAACGAAGAAATAAATTGAATAACGTATGTATTTTTTCTTTTCTCCTCAGTAATTTTATAGTTTTTAAACTTAATAGTGATTAAATTTGGATTTTAAAATTGGCAGATTTTAATTTTAATATCAAATTTCATCATATAATTTAATAATTATTGGTTAGAATAAATTCTATTTAATATTACCGTATTTTAAAGATCTGGATAGCTATTATAACATTATTTCGTTGTCAAGCTTTTGAATCTTCCTATACTTGGATTTTGTTTGGTAATTCTAGCTTTTGTAACAGTGTTTTCCCCTAGCGAAGGATCGTTAATTAATTTGAAGCTTTTAAAACCATTTACTTTATCTTCAACATCATCACTTGATAAGACACTGTGGGTGTTGAAACAAAATGGCTATTTTTGTATTGGTTTTATAACATATTTATTTTTATTTATAAAGAAAAATAATTATATATATATATATATATATATATATATATATATATATATATATATATATATATGATATTCATTTCAAAATTATAACATAAGTATGTTATAACATCACTACAAAAATAAGCATTTTGTTTGAACACTTCTGGTGTCTTCTCAAAACACCAGAAGCGTTGAAATAAAAATTTCAGATGACATAAATTGCTCGACCTACATGGAAACTGTTATGTTTCTAGGACATTTATTAACTAAAGTTTGCGATCAGCCAATATCGTAAATTATTTTTTTCAAAAAAATATGCAATTTCAGTACAACAAAAATGGTAGCTAACCATAAAAAACTAAGGTCATTTTCGGAATTTAAACCATTAAATAAGCTAAAAAAAAACATGTTTCTTGGTTTTCTGTCTACAATCTCATTTACATATTCATGTTGGTATTCCGTGTGAAATAGTCATTCTTTACTTTGCAGTATTATTCCCAAGAAAGCCATTTTAAGATAAGTTGCAAAAAAAACAAAAAACAAAAAAAAAAACGTTTATCACAGTTGCGGCAGGATGGTTAATGAAAAACAATGTACGTGCGTGAAAACAGCTGTCTTCTATCATAGCTGACCAGAGAGCAATTGAAAAATAAAATCTCTAACAATGTTGTAACTCTTGAAAAACTCTCTTAATCATTACATTTGTAAACATGAAATAGAAACACACACGCACACGAAAAGTATCATTTTCTTCAGTCTGTTACCTTTGCGTGGGGCGTTTCTTCTCTGAGCACTGGGATCTTTGCATATGTTTGCACTCAATCATCGAAACTGTTCCTTCATTTGCTGCGAGGTTTTTATATCAAAGTTGTCAGATCAAAGCTCGTCGATCACAAACCTTTAGCGTTGACAAGCAATCTTCGACCCTTGGCAAAATTCCAACTGTACATAATACATTTAGTTTCCACGGACAATAATGTTAAAAGCTGGGTTCTTCGAATTTTGATGCTGTTTTGCTTCTTTCTGTCGTTATATCGACGAGAGAATTGTCCTTTTACTTTGCTTTCTCCTTTATTGATATTTTGTTTTTACACGTCTATGATAATTGTTTTTTTTTTCTTCGAATTCTTTTCTAACATTCGATGCATAATATTCACTTCATTCTCTTTCGGATACGTAATTGTGTTCGACAACTTTGTCCTAATTCAGTTTTCTTTCTTTAGTCCTAATTTCCTCCTGATTCATCTTTCACTTCATATATTTCACAATGTCTTTTTCTTTGTTATCATTTCTTCATGTCCGCTGCAATCATTGCCGCCTTCTTCTTCTTCTTCTTCTTCTTCTTCGTCGTCGTCGTCGTCATCGTCGTTTTTATTCATGTCTACAATAATAGTCTTCTTCTTTTTTCCTTATTTGAACAACCTCAAAACCTTCTTCTTCTTCTTTTTCTTCTTCTTCTTCTCCGTCGTCGTCGTTTTCATTCATGTCTACAATAATAATCTTCTTTTTCCCCTTATTTGAACTTTGTGACAATCTTCTTCTTCTTCTTCCTCTTCCTCATTTCTTTCATGTTTTCTCTACTCTGTTTCTCTTACTTAAACTGTCTTCGGCTATATCACATCGAAACACCCGTTCACGTACGAAACATCATCGAACCTGTGATTGATGACCGCTTGGAAATACCAGTTGCAAGAAGCTTGGCTATGTTTATGGTGTAATATATAATGACTCGGAATTATTAACTGGAGAGCCAAGTTCCTATTCAAAATCAGTCCGTTATATTAACTTAAATTCAAATAACCTTTCGAAGATTATGAATGCGGGTTAATAAGTAAGACTTGTATCATTAAAATCATTATTATATCCAAGCAATAAAATATAATTGCGTATAAAATATTTAGATTACCTCACAACCCATAGCTGTTGATATGCCGCTAAATAAAAACAAAAACTTCTTCGTTGTCATATTTATTTATGTCTGCTGACTTCTTTTTTCTATTACTTAAACGAGGTCAAATTCCTCTTCTACTTCTTCTTTTTCCTCTCCCTCTTCTTCCTCTTCATTCCTTTCTTCTTCCTCTTCATTCCTTTCTTTTTCTTCTTCATTCCTTTTTTCTTCATCATTCCTTTCTTCTTCTTCTTCTTCTTCCGCTTCTTCTTCTTCTTCTTCATTCATTTCTTCTTGTTTTTCTTCATACCTTTTTTCTTTATCGTTCCTTTCTTCTTCTTCCGCTTATTCTTTCTCTTCTCCCTCTTCTTATTCATTCTTTTCTTCTTCTTCTTCTTCTTCTTCTTCTTCTTCTTCTTCTTCTTCTTCTTCTTCTTCTTCTTCCTTCCTTCCTTTCTTTTTCTTTCCTTCCTTTCTTCTTCTTGTACTTATTCTTCTTCATTCCCTTCTTCCTTCTTTTTTTCCTCTTCTTCTTTTTCTTTTTTTGACCTTCTTCTTCGTCATTCCCTTAAGTCTGCTATAATAAGTTGTTGTTTTTTCTTTCATGCCTGCTATAATCTTCCATTCTCTTCTTGTAAGTTATATTTCTCTTTCCTGGCTACCACAACAACCTTTTTCTTTGTCTTTCATATCAGCCATAATATTCTTTCTCAGTTTTCATCGTAGTTTTCATCATTCACTTTCCTTTTTAAAATTCTAACCTTTCTTTTCTGTCTTTTTTATTATTATTTTTCTTTCTTTCCCTTTCAGTTCTTCGATAATTTCCTTGTTTTTCTTCTTTTCTATTCCAATCAATTGCTCCCTTTTGATCTTTCATTTGACCACATTTATTCGCTATATATTAATATTTGATAGAAATCAATAATCCGCAGACAAGTTTAATTGCAATCAGCTGCCTCACCAGATGATCGTATGATTAGCCTTTCTTTATCTGAATGTATTTAGATTTGTATTCAAAGACGAGATATGCACTTTGTCCGTTGAATTTAGTGATGTCAAGTCAGAAATCCACTCTTTAGCACATTATTAAATAATATTCTCTAATTTTAAAAAAATTACATTAAAGAAAATTAATATAAAACTATTTTAACGATTTAGTAAAGGAAAATAAGGAAAAGTATTAAAAATGAATGAATTGGATAATGACAACTGATTTATATGGCGATAATGATCAACATAACATAGCCAAGTATTTTAAGAAATCTCAGTGAATGATGGACTCGTGAAGTATGGATTTAATGTCGGAAGCTATAGTTTTATTGTATCCGAAAAGATGTAAAGAAAGAAAAATAGACGGTAAAAAAAGTTTCTAATAAAAATACTGTAATATTAACAATGCTTCTTTAAAACACACCGACATATTAAAGGTGTCATCATTTATTTATTTACTTTTATTCTTTCATTTGTTAGTTTCAGTTTTTATTTTATATTATTATTATTAGTAGTAGTAGTATTAGTATTATTATTATTAGTAGTAGTAGTATTTGATTTGATTTGATTTCTGGTTTCGTGGTCATTTCTTCTCATTTTGGTTTTCTATTTTATATCATTACTATTATTATTATTTTATTTGGGTTGATTTCAGTTTTCTTTCTTATTTGTTTCCGGGTCCCAACCAGAGATCTAAAGTCAGAAATTACATCATGACATTTTCATGATCATTTTTGGTTAAAAACAAAAACACCTACAATCGGACACATTTTATATAGATAAAGCCCTTCTTAAGGTGTGGGCTGTACTTGTGAGTACAATCTTTTGTATATTTTTAAAGCATGAGCTACCAGGAATTCCTTCAATGAGTCTATCGGAATCTTTTCCAAGTAATCCGAGAGTTCTGACCACAATTGGTGTTGCTAATGTGTGCCACATTTTTGAGATTTCTCTTTCAAGGGTCTTGTATTTTGATATTGTTTTTTTTAAGTTCTTCAATGATACATTATAGTTTGCAGGAACTGCCATGCCAATAAAAAGGCACATTTTTACGGTCTCTGATCACAATATCTGGGCGATTAGCTTTAATTTTTCTGTCTCTGTGTATTATAAAGCCCCATCAGACTGTTACAGGTTCTCTCTCCATAACCGTGTCTGAGTGGTGTTCATACCAATTTCTTTCAGTTTCCTTCCCGTAGAAGTTGCAGATTTTCCAATGCAGATATTTGCCCTTCTGTCATGCAGGGTTTTATATTTAGTGAATGCCAATACCATTCAACCTGATACAGAAACTGCATTTTAAGCTGACTCAATCTTTTTTCAGAATGTCAGCTTGGTAAATTCTAGTTAGCAAGCATTGATCCTGTAATAAAACTTTCGGTTTCAGCTTTTAACCTTACACTACGTAGCCACTGATGGGTAAAGGGTTTCTTTACATCAGCTTGTTTTGTATAGACAGAATATTGATGGTGAAGAGTTTTATCCTGCCATCGTTTCTGTAACTGGTTGATTATATTTGCCTTTGCTTCTTTTTTTTTATTTTTTTATTTTTTATTTTTTGCTGCTTCAGTAGATGTATTATATTTTACTTGCAAATTCTCCAACCACATCTTTGACACATATACTCATGCACTTTTCTATTGTTTTCAGATATCTTTGAAGGCCGAATGCTGTAGTTTTGTGAAGCAGTTCTAAATAATTGTCTGCCTCCTTCGAATCTGAGCATATAATGACGATCAACCTCAGCCTTCGGATAATGCATACAATGGCACGTGAGAAGATTTCTCATTTTGGCGCCCAATCGCTTAATGTTAGTTATGGTCCAGTTAAGGATGTTGACACTTTATTGAATCACAGGTCAGCCAATGCGTTTATACCTGATATTCTGTTTTTTTTTCTTTCTTTTAATTCAACGCGGTATTCAATACCAGACGTCTATAGTATTCTTTTCTTGCTTTCTCCTTTATTTCGGTATGATGTATTCCATCTCCTCCGCTAATTCCTCGGTGCTTATAAGCTTATTCATGTTTCAGTTCCATAATCTTTGTGACAAAATCTAGATCTATTAAGTGTGTTTTTGCGATTCTCACTTTCTTGAATGTTACATGTGCACATTTATCTAATCCTAAGTTCATACCTATTTCGTCACTGAAACGTTTTACAGTATTCAGGAGACCCTTCAACTTATTGTCTTTTTTGGCAGAGAGTTTGAGATCATCCATGTAGAGTTGGTGATTGAAGAGTTTCTGGTTTACCTTATATCCATAGATATTGTTTTTAATTCATACATAAAGGGGATTAAGTACAGACAAAACAGACGAGTTGACAGGGAGTCTCTTTGAAAGATTCCTCGTAGGATATTCAGACGATTAGAAGTGGCCACGCCGTTTGTGTGATTTAGGTATAATGTACTTTTTCACATTCGCATGATGTTTTTAAAGACTTTTACTCTCAGGGAGGAGACTGTACATTTCCATACTCTTAAGAATGCAGGAATGTGATACTCAATCAGAGGATTTATGGTAGTCTATCCATGCTGTACTGAGATAGCTACCTATTTCCCTGCAGTTTTCCAAGATCATTTTGTTTATCAGTAGTTGATCTTTGCAACCATATCAACGCTTCCTGGATCCGTTCTGTTCCAGGGGAAGAATGTTATTTGCTTCGAGAAAAATGTAAGTACAGTTTTTTAGGACAGACGTGATCAATTTATACGTGGTGGACAGACATGTTATTGGCTTATAAGTTTTCGGTTCAAGTTTTTGGCAGTTTTTGAATTGTAATACCTTCAGTGATATTTTTAAATGAGTCTAACACCATACATGGCATCCATATGAAAGTCTTCATCTAATTAAGAGCATTTTAAAAACTAAACAGCTTTTGGTATATGTCTATATTTCTGCGATGAGGTATTATGTACACTATTTACATTATTCCGACTATTGTCCTCATCTTTGTCGCCATATTTATTAAAACGTTTCGGCCTTGTACGCTCCGGCCTTCTTCAGGTGGTTGGAATGTCGAAATGAACCCTTTATGTCGCTCAGTGGGGTAGACCGTTCTAGTTCCACGTGCTGAAGGACACTGAGTGCAAAATCTATTCTGCCATCATCAACAGTCATTTCAATAAATACTAAAATCTATTAATGCCCAAATGTTCTAATCTTGTATTATTTTTGGTGTGGATGCATTCTACATCAGTGTTCTGCAATTTGGGGAGGGGAATCACCGCTCATTTCCTATTAAGCTATTCATATGTTAATCGTTTGCTCGCATTGCCAATGTTTTTGCTTAACCTTATGAGCTTTTTTTGGAGCTGTATGCCGTCTCTTTCATATGAGGTTGGGAATGTCACAGGCTTTCAATTTTTAAATTTTTTTTTTTTTTATTCTGGGAATATTTTCTTTTGCATTTGTCATTATTTCACCATTTAAGGTATTCCAATCTGTGTGTCTGACCACTTCGAGATTTCGTCTTTGTTAATTATGAATGTTTCTTTAAAATAAAGTCGCTGTGAAATATTGCCTTATTTATACATTGCTTTCCTTTTTTTCTTCTTTATTCTGTGTCCCAGAATCTTGTGCTTTGTTGCGCTTTTTGCTATCTTTACTGTTGCCTATTCATCTAACCATTTGCACAAGTTTGTTGGGTAGGTTAGTCTCTGACTTCCTCTTGTCTTCAACATTTCCTGTGAGTGTTAAATTTACCAAGCCCACTTTCCTCATCATGTGTCCTATAAATTTCAATTTTCACCTTCTGATTCTAAGTAAAACTGTCTTTTTCCTGATTTCTCTAAAACTTAATTGTGTTTCATACGCTCAGTGTATGGTATCTTCAGCATCCTTCTAAAGAACAAAATTTCTGATGGTTCAAAATTTGTCTTCATTTTGATGAGATTGTCCAGCATTTACTGGCATGTAAGGTGATCAATATTAAATATTTTATAATATTTTTTTTGTTTCTAAAGAAATTTTTCTGTTTCGTAATATTTAACTTGTGATAGGTATCTTTTGATGTAACATTTTCCGTTTCCTGTTAAAACACTTCCTAGATATTTAAATTATTTTCTATATTTCTGAGATGAGGTATTATGTACATTATTTACATTATTCGGGCTATTGCCTTCATCTTTGTCGCCATATTTATCTCTCCCGTGTAAGACCCCCATAGAGGAGAACATGACTAAAGACTGTGTGTACGCTATCCCGTGCAGCTGCGGAAAGAAATATAAAGGGGGAGAGGCCGCCCCCTTAAGGTAAGCCTTCAAGAACACCAAAAAGCTGTAACACGAGAGGAAGTGAAATAATCAGGCATGGCTGACCACATATGGTGAGAGAAGGGAGATCATCGCCCTCTGTGGAATTAGGTTGAGATCATAGACAAAAACACCATTGGAAAATTCGTAAACTTAAGGAATCAGCACATATGCTAAGCCACAAAAATTTCCTGAGCTGACCAAGCATAGAAATGAATAAAATATGGGAACCAGTAATAAGGAGTGCCAGAGGAAAGCGATAATAACAACGAAAATTGCAATATGAGCTCTGGTAAAAATATAGATGATAACAGCAAAAATAGCAATATAAGAACAGGTAAAAAAAATGGTTGCTGAAGACATTAGGTTTATAATACCTCGAAATTCATACACATACTCAAGGACACATGGCACAGTGGATAAAGGCATTAGATAGATCTAGTGACAAGACCCAAAGAGTCTGAGTTCAGTACTCGGTTAA